TTATTATTATTATTATTATTATTATTATTATTATTATTATTATTATTATTACTACAGTTAAGTGAATCACTGAGTCATTAAGTTAATAATGCAGTTGTTAAGTGAAAAACTTTTGGGCTCAATTACAGTCGTAAGTCAAGGACTAACTGTATTTCCAACACAGAATTTGGAGGTTTTGACTGTAATAAACTCTGCTACTTTTTGTCTGTGCAGCAAGGGAAAAAAATGCCAATGTTCCCAGATTATTTATTTACTTGTTAAACTTGTTTGACACCCATCATGCCGGGGAGGTGGGAGGGGGCTATTCTAGCCGGCTTGTAACAATAAAAAGCACGAAATTAAAAAATGTATATATGCAGTAAAACCTCCAAAAGTTGAGCACCCACGGGACTAAACGAAAGTGATCAACATACGGAGCAACTGCGCTGACATGTTATATGTGCCTGGTTTTATTGTACAGCTTTTATTAGAGAATGTGAATGTCCTACACACAGGGGTAGGCAACCTTGGCTCTTTTATGACTGGTGGACTTCAACTCCCAGAATTCCTGAGCCAGCATGGCTCAGCTTGGAAACCTCTCCCTTCCCCCTCAGCATGGCTGGCTCAGGAATTCTGGGAGTTGAAGTCCACCAGTCATAAAAGAGCCAGGGTGGCCTACCCTGTCCTACAGAAACCCGCATCATGCATACAAAATCATACAAAATCAACACATTTACCTCTGGATTGTTTTCTCGTGGTTTGATCATTCTTTCTGGAAAAACGAAAGAGTCAGTTTTCGTCTGTTTCTTATTCTTTTTGTGAGAAAAGGAGAAAGCACTCTCCACGCTGGCTTGAACCCTCAGCAAAGCTGGGCATTTTTCCACGGCAAATGACCCCTTTAACTGCATTATCAAATGGCTGACATGCTCTTCTTTCAGAAGATCTGCCAATTTCTGTGTCGCCCTCACTTAATTCACTTTAGGGTTAGGATTAGGATTCCACTTCTACAGATGTTTTGTGTTTTAGCAATGACCCGTCTCAGAAGCCGGGCTGGGCGCATTTTGAATATTTTGATTATGCCTTTGATTATTTTGATGCTGTGTTTGGAAGCAAAAATTCCAGTTTCGTCTGTGTAAGAGGATTCACTTGGGGATGGCTAGGACAATTGTCCACTGCAAGGAGAATGGACCATTTCTTCTTTGGTCAGCCTACTACAAAAAAAGACGTTGAGATTTTCGAAAAAGTTCAGAGAAGAGCAACTAAGATTATCCAAGGCCTGGAGACCAAAACATACGAAGAACGGCTGCGGGACTTGGGTTTGGCTAGTCTAAAGAAAAGAAGAAATAGGGGTGACATGATAGCAGTATTCCAGTATCTGGAATATAGAGAGATTGGCTTTCTATTGTGACATTAGAATAGAATAAAGCTGGAAGGGACCTTGGAGGTCTTCTAGTCCAGCCCCCTGCTCAAGCAGGAGACGCTCTGACATTTCTGACATGTGACTGTCCAGCCTCTTCTTAAAAACCTCCAGTGATGGAGCACCCACGACTTCTGGTGGCAAGCTGTTCCACTGGTTAATTGTCCTCACTGTTAGGAAGTTTCTCATTAATTCCAGGTTGGTTCTCTCTTTGATCAGTTTCCAGCCATTGTGTACATATAGTGCAGGGGTAGGCAACCTTGGCTCTTTTATGACTCTGGACTTCAACTCCCAGAATTCCTGAGTCAGCATAGCTGACTCAGGAATTCTGGGAGTTGAAGTCCACGAGTCATAAAAGAGCCAAGGTTGTCTACCCCTGATATAGTGTATGTCCGGTCTACGAAAATTAGGTCAACTTAGGGAGGTTTTACTGTGCATGAAAGATGTTTATATGTGTATAAAAGATGCAGTGCATATATTTTAATTACTGGTTGCCAGGAGTCCTGTCCCAAAGGAAGCCATTTTGAGTTTCCTGTATTAATTCCAGGGGGATGCTGGAAGAAGCTGCCTCGACTTCTTTAGAGGAAGTTTAGACCTGCTGGCAGCTGTATCTGGAGAAGGGCGGGACCAAGAAGGGGGCAGACTGTCAATTAAAATCCAACTTCCTGGCTGTTCTGCCCACTCAGACTCTCTCCGGCTCCTCCTACAGCCAGCTGCGGGCACTGGAAGGTGCCACGTCAACTTTTATTTTTTTTCCTGATTTTTTTTTTTAACGCTTTTCTCTCGATCAGTCTTTCTCGGCTTCTGGCTATCCTGCGCCCAGCAGAAACAATTTAATCAATTTTTAGAACGCCCATCTCAGTCAAGCAATTCTGGGTGACTTTTAAAACAGTTGAGATAGTAATAATAATAATAATAATAATAATAATAATAATAATAATAATAATAATAATAATAATAATAATAATAATAATAACAACAACAACAACAAAACAACAACAAAACATCAAAACAACAATAATAATAGTAATGATGATGATGATGATGATGATGATGATGATGATGATAATATAATAAAGTTGGAAGGGACCTTGGAGGTCATCTAGTCCAACCCCCTGCTCAGGCAGGAAATCCTATACCATTTCGGACAAAGGGCTGTCCAGTTTCTTCTTAAAAACTCCCAGTGTTGGAGCATTCACAGCTTCTGGAGGCAGGTGGTTCCACCGGTTAATTGTTCTAACTGTCAGGAAGTTTCTCCTTAGTTCTAGGTTGCTTCTCTCCTTGCTTAGTTTCCATCCATTGTTTCTTGTCCGGCCTTCAGGCGCTTTGGAGAATAGCTTGACTCCCTCTTCTTTGGGGCAGCCCCTGAGATATTGGAATGCTGCTATCATGTCCCCCCTTCATGTCGTCCTTCTCTTCATTAAACTAGACATACCCAGTTCCAGCAGTCGTTCCTTACATGCTTTAGCCTCCAGTCCCCTGATCATCTTTGTTGCTCTTCTCTGCACTCTTTCTAGAGTCTCAACATCTTTTTTACATCGCAATGACCAAAACTGGATGCAGTATTCCAAGTGTGGCCTTACCAAGGCATTGTATAGTGGTATTAACACTTCACGCGAATGCCACATGGAACGTCAAAGCCTGTGGAACAGGTGCTTGGACATGGAACTCCTTTTTGTTTGCAGAATACAGAATAATGGAAGGGACCTTGGAGGTCTTCTAGTCCAACCCCCTGCTCAACCTGGGAACTTTAAGACTTGTGGACTTCAACTCCCAGGATTTCCCAGCCGGCACGGGACTTATTTGCACCTGCCCCAAGAGCAGACACCCCACCATTGATGAGGAGGGGGGGGCAGAGGGTTGCTTCCCCTCCCCAGTTTGGGGGCAGCCACAAAATGCATAGACCAGCCTAGAGCCCTGGGCACCCCACACACCTGCTGGCTGGGGATGATAGGAACTGAAGTCCTGAGCCATGGGGGAGACCCTCCTCGTCTCTTTGCACCCACTCTACAAGGTTGTGGCTGGAAGAATGATGTTGGTGGTGGGGGGTGACAAGCAAGGTCGCATCTCAAATCCCATCATCCCCTGCCAATACGAAATGGACTAGGGAGGGCCACGGTCCTTCCATGCCACTATCTGAGAGGATGTGGGATGCAAGGTGTCAGGTGGGGAAGGGCTGCACGGTGGGTGTTGTAGTCCCTTCCTCCGGGGTGGTTATTGTAGTCCTCCCTCCGTGGTGCTCCATCGCTGGAGGTTTTCAAGAAGAGACTGGACAGCCATTTGTCTAGACCAGGGGTAGGCAACCTTGGCTCTTTTATGACTCATGGACTTCAACTCCCAGAATTCCTGAGCCAGCATAGCTGACTCAGGAATTCTGGGAGTTGAAGTCCATGAGTCATAAAAGAGCCGAGGTTGCCTACCTCTGGTCTAGAATAATATAGAATTCTGGCAGTTGAAGACCACCAGCCTTAAAGTCCCATAATTGGACACTCCTGGCTTGGGGTCCACTGCTGGAGCAGGGGGCTCGACTAGAAGACCTCCAAGGCGCCTTGCAATTCTGCCATTCTGTCATTCCATACATTCTAGTCCAGCCGGGCGGCGCGAGAACGGCGCGGCTTGTCCCCCGCCGGCCGCCGTAGGAGGCCGCGCCCGGCAGGGTCGCCATGGCAACGCGAGGCCTGTAGGCCGCGGCCTACTCGGCGGCGCCCGATGGAGAAATACGAGCGGATCCGGGTGGTCGGGCGGGGGGCGTTCGGGTGAGGGGCGGCGGTCGCCGTGGAGACGCGGGAGGGGGCGGGACGTCCCCCTCCTCTCTTTCCCCAGCCAATGGGAGCCGCCCACCCCCCCCTCCTCCGCGGCGGCCTTCCAAGAGGCGGGGCTTCTCCCGCGATGGGCTTTGTAGTCCTTCCCTGCGTGGATCGGAGGGGGGGGCCCCGTCAGCATTCAGCTCTGGCGATGAAAACCCCATTTCTCCCCCCCCCCCTACAGAGGAAGCCCCCACCCTCCCGGCCCCTCCCCTCTCCCCCCTTTGCACCCTCTTTACGCACGGGGAAACTGAGGCACAGACAGGGCCCCATCTCTCAGGCCAGCTGGGCTCCCCAAGGAGGGTCCCGTTCCAAAAGGGCGCTCAGGGGAGGGAGGGAGGGGCCAAGCTGACCCCCCATGTGGAAGGAGCCCCCCTATGACCCCCGTGCCCCCATCTCCCCCGCAAAAGGGGGCTCAGAGTGGGAGGGGCCCAGCTGCGCCCCCATGCCTCCCAAGCCCTTGCCATGCCCCCCATGCCCCCTGCCTCTTGACATACCCAGTTGCCCCACAAAAGGGGGCTCAAGGAGTGGGAGAGAGCCAAATTGACCCCCCATGTGGAAGGAGCCCCCCTATGACCCATGCCCCCCATCTCCCCCTTGATATTCCCATTGCCCTGCAAAAGGGGGCTCGGAGTGGGAGGGGCCCAGCTGCTCCTCCATTTCATATAAGCCCCCCCATGCCTTTCCCATGCCCCCATACCCCCTGCCTCTTGAGACACCCAGAGCTGCCCCACAAAAGGGGGATCAAGGAGTGGGTCCCCCCCTGGTGAGGGAATCCCCCCATGCTCCCCCCGCCTCCCTTGACATGCCCGTCTGCCCCGCCAAGGGGGGCTCAGGGAGTGGGCGGGGGCTTAGCTGCCCCCCCATGTTGGAGGAACCCCACCCCGTCTCCTACTCCCTGACGCGCCCGGCCGCCCCGCAGGATCGTCCACCTGTGCCTCCGCCGGCTGGACCAGAAGCTGGTCATCCTGAAGCAGATCCCGGTGGAGCAGATGACCAAGGACGAGCGCCTGGCGGCCCAGAACGAGTGCCAGGTGCTGAAGCTGCTGCACCACCCGCACATCATTGAGTACTACGAGAACTTCCTGGAGGACAAGGCCCTGATGATCGCCATGGAGTACGCGCCGGGTAGGGGCACCACCGGGCACCACCGGAGGCCCCCCGACCTCGAAGGGGAGGGGAGCTTTGCCCGCCAAAGGGTCGAACCCTCCGTCCAGTGTGGTCTATCCCACAAGCCTCCTGGCCTTGAAGGGGAGGGGGGGGGCTTGCCTGTCAAAGGGTTGAACCCTGGGTCAAATGGGCAGGTGCAAACAGGTGGCACTGGGCACAACTTGGTCTCAAAATGGAAGGGAAGCTGGTCCACTATAGGATTGACCCCTGACTCAAACAGACAGGTGCCCTGGTGTGTCCCAGAAGCCACCTGGCCTCAAAGGAGCCTTGCCCACCAAAGGGTTGAACCCTGGGTCCAACGGGCAGATGCCAAGGGGCAGGCCTGGGCACCTTCTGGGCTTGAAAGGGAAGCTTTGCCCACCATTGGGTTGGACCTTGGGTCAAATGGGCAGGTGCCAATGGGCTATCCTAGGTGCCACTAGCCTCAGAAGGGGAAGCTTTGCCCACCAAAGGCTTGGGTGCCAGGCCTTCCACAGAAGAAGGGAGAGAGAAACATTTCATGCTTACTCAGAATGGAAGGTGGCAACCCGGGGCAGACTCTGCAGCCCAGGAACATATTGGGATGGGAGACCAAGAGGAAGAGCAAGAGGGATTCTGGGAGTTGAAGTCCACAAGTCTTAAAAGTTCCAAACTTCCTACAAGGTCAGATAGATGGGCCCGCTCCTAGCCCCTTCCCCTGAACTTCATCTGGACCCCACAACTTCAGAGGTTGTGGGCGCTCCATCATTGGGGGTCTTTAAGAACAGCCGCTTGTCTGAAATGGTGTAGGGTCCCCTGCTTGAGCAGTGGCGGGGGGGGGCTGGACTAGAAGACCTCCAAGGTACCTTCCAACTCTGTTCTGATGGATTAAATCAGGGGTAGTCAACTTTGGCTCTTTTATGACTCGTGGACTTCAACTCCCAGAATTCCTGAGCCAGCTAATTCTGGGAGTTGAAGTCCACGAGTCATAAAAGAGCCAAGGTTGACTACCCCTGGATTAAATGAATGTTGCCATCTGATGGGAGCTAGGGAGTTTGCCCCACGGAACACCCACCCCACAGAAATTAAGCAGGCCTCCACCCTCCTCGCCCCCCCCCAAGACTTGGAAGACCCCCAAGTGCTGGGATCAGATTGGATAACATGAGAAGCCTGGCGTGGTGCCAGGTGTTTGTCGTGGTTGTTTTTAATGCGCTTTGTTTTATGGTTTTATGACGGTTTTTATGGGTTTTCACTTTGCCTCGGGAGCCGCCCGGAGTGGGATTATAAAACGGGTGGTTATATAAATGTTTTGCATGAATAAATACATTAAATAAAGGAACAAGGTCAAAGAGTACTTCGGGGAAGGCAGTGGCCGGCCGGCTCGGGGGCTGAGAAAACGGTCCGTATTCAATCCCTGGGAGTTTTGCTCCACTCTTGGTCTGGATTTTATTGACGTGGAACGGATGGAACAAGACTAGGAACCGGTTATTTAAAGCAGATTTCTAAATATCCAGCATTTCTTGCCGCTTATTCACCGGCCCTGTTCAAGCTCAGTGGCCTGAATTCATCCACCAGAATTACAGCCTTGACCACAAGCATGAGGAACTCTATGCAGCTACTCCTTGGCTTCACAACAGCAAGAATTTCTGTGGTCAAGCGAGGCGGTTCTTAGCTGGACCGTTTTATGAGCTTCTTTGTCACGGTTGCCAAGGAAATCACGGAAGTCCTTAAGCGAAGCGTGCAGTCGTTAAGCGAATCCGGTTTCCCCCATTGACTTTGCCTGCGGGAAGGTCGCAGACGGAGATCACGTGACCCCAGGACACTGCAGCCGTCGTAAATAGGAGTCAGTTGTCAAGCCCGCCCCGCCCCGAATTCCGGCCATATGACCGTAGGGATGCTGCAATGGTCGTCCGTCCGAGGACTTGCTTTTTTCCGTGCCGTTGTAAATGTGGTCACTAAACGAATGGGTTGGAAGTCGAGGACTGTGTGTAAAAGCGAGAAAATAGATGATGATGATAATAATAATAATAATAATAATAATAATAATAATAATAATAATAATATAATAATAATAATAATAATAATAATAATAATAATAATAACAACGATGATGATGATAATAATAAAGTTGGAAGGGACCTTGGAGGTCATCTAGTCCAACTCCCTGCTCAGGCAGGAAACCCTATACCATTTCGGACAAATGGCTGTCCTGTCTCTTCTTAAAAACCTCCAGTGATGGAGCATGCACTGCTTTTCCACTGGATAATTGTTCTAACTGTCAGAAAGTTTCTCCTTAGTTCTAGGTTGCTTCTCTCCTTGATCAGTTTCCATCTATTGTTTCTTGTCCTGCCTTCAGGCGCTTTGGAGAATAGCTTGACTCCCTCTTCTTTGGGGCAGCCCCTGAGATATTGGAAGACTGCTATCCTGTCCCCCCTCGTCCTTCTCTTCGTTAAACTAGACATGCCCAATTCCAGCAACCATTCCTTGTATGTTTTAGCCTCCAGTCCCCTAAAATTATCTTTGTTGCTCTTCTCTGCACTGTTTCTAGAGTCTCAACTAGAGTCTAGTTGGAAGAGACCCAGAAATTAAAATCTCTGCCTCTTGAAGGGACCCAGTTTGTAAGCCTGCCAGGCTAATTCTAACCTGTGCCAGGTTATTTATCCGTTTTTATAGCATGCTCTCACTTAGTGACCAGAAGCCTCAAATGCCATGCTCTGATCCTATACCAGGAACATTTTCCCAAGGCCCAGGAACCCAGGACCTTCCATAGGCCTCAGGGGCTCTGCTGCCACGGCCGTTCCCCAAATTCTGAATGAAATGTTAGGACCACTTTATAACCACTTGCAATACTCGCATCTAGTTTTGGTCGCCACGACGTAAAAAAGGATGTTGAGAATCTGGAAAGAGTGCAGAGTAGAGCAACGAAGATGATTAGGAGACTGGAGGCTAAAACCTACGAAGAACGGTTGCAGGAATTGGGGATGTCTAGTTTAACGAAGAGAAGGACGAGGGGGGACATGGGAGCAGTCTTCCAGTATCTCAGGGGCTGCCCCAAAGAAGAGGGAGTCAAGATCTTCTCCAAAGCACCAGAGGGAAGGAAAAAGAAGCAACTGATGGAGACTAATCAAGGAGAGAAGCAACCTGGAATTAAGGAGAAACTTCCTGACAGGGAGAACAATTAACCAGTGGAACAACCTGCCTCCAGAAGTTGTGGGTGCTCCAACACTGGAAGTTTTAAAGAAGAAATTGGACAGCCATCCTGTCTGAAATGGTACAGGATCTCCTGCTTGATCGGGGCTGGACTAGAGGACCTCCGAGGTCCCTTCCCGCTCTTGTCATTCTGCTGCCTTGCCTTCTTGCTAGGTGGGAATTGAACTTGCATGGAGGGGGCGATGAGTGTTGGAGAGTCCACACTCCCTCTGGGCTGGGTCTCTGGTCTCCAGATGCTCTGCAGGGGAAGGGTCACCGTCCCCTCTCTGCTACCTCCTGGGGGGTCTCTTGTTGTGAGACCAACACAGGTAAGTTCTCAGCTTAACGGCCCCAATTGAGCCCAAAATGTAGGTTGCTAAGTGAGACCTTTGTTAAGTGAGCGTTGCCCCGTTTCACGACCTTTCTCGTCACGGGTTGTTAAGTCAGCCACGCGGTTGTTAAGTGAATCTCGCTTTCCCAGCGACTTTGCTCGCGAGAAGGCCGCAAAAGCGGAACCCGTGCCTCGGGACGCTGCGACCGTCATAAGTACGAGTCAATTGACGAGCGTCTGAATCTTGAGCGCAGGACCCCCGGGGGTCGTAAGTGTGAAAAGCGGTCATAAGTCACCTTTTTTTTTTTAGTGTCGTAACTTTGAACGGTCACTAAGCAAGGTGTCGTAAGTCAAGGACTGCTTGTGGAACTGGGGCCCGACCCAGCAGACTCTGTTGCTTTTACCAGCCTCGGCTTCCCCCTCCCTCTCAGAGGATCCTCCCCCAGGAACTGGGGTGGGGGGGTTGCCAGCCACCTGTGCATATGTGTGTGTGTGTGTGTGTGTGCTAGAGAGTAGGATACTTGCACAATAGTGTGATGGGGGAAGGAGAGGGGGAGGACTCCAGGAAGCAGCCTCTGCCCCCCCATGCAGCAAGGAAGACCCCCCCACCTTGCTCCCTCTTCCTCTCCAGCCCCAGGCTCCAAAGTTTGGGGGGGGGGAGTTGCAACTGGTGGGCTGCTCCCTGTTAACACCTGGGCTGCTGGGGGAGGGGGCTGGGGGGGCATTGAGAAGGGGGGGTGTCTGGCCCTGCTGTACCCTGGAAGCCCTCCTCCCCTTGTTACAGAAGCAAGCCTGTGTTTGTGCGAGTGGTGTGTGTCCGATTTCAGAGGGGGGGGGAGGAGGAGAGGCACTCCCTGCCAGAGGCAGCCCCACTGGGCCTTGCAAACAAAGGGCCGTTTTGTGTGTCTGCTTACACAGTCGCAAGCAAGCAAGGAGGAGACACCGCAGCGGACCCCCCTGGGCAGGTCTTGGCTCGGGGAGCGGAGCTGCCAAACAGGTTGGGCTTGATCTGCCCGGGCAGAAGTTGGGCTCAGCTGTTGCTGTTTTTTCCTTGAATGCCAAGGAGGCTGGGTTAACCCTTGGTGGGTCTCTTCCCTTGGCCCAGCGGCCGGGGTGGGGGGCTTTCTGATGCTTCTCAGGCCCTGGAAGTATTCCAAGGCCACACTTGGAATCCTGCATCCAGTTTTGGTCACCACGATGTAAAAAAAGATGTTGAGACTCTAGAAATAGTGCAGAGAAGAGCAACAAAGATGATTTTAGGGGACTGGAGGCTAAAACATAGAAGGAACGATTGCTGGAATTGGGAATGTCTAGTTTAACGAAGAGAAGGACGAGGGGGGACAGGATAGCAGCCTTCCAGTATCTCAGGGGCTGCCCCAAAGAAGAGGGAGTCAAGCTCTTCTCCAAAGCACCAGAAAGGCAGGACAAGAAGCAACGGGTGGAAACCAATCAAGGAGAGAAGCAACCTAGAACTAAGGAGAAACTTCCTGACAGTGAGAACAATTAACCAGTGGAACTCCTTGCCTCCAGAAGCGGTGAATGCTCCAACACTGGAAGTTTTTAAGAAGAGACCGGACAGGCCTTGGTCTGAAATGGGATAGGGTTTCCTGCCTGAGCAGCGGGTTGGACTAGATGATCTCCAAGGTCCCTTCTGACTTTATTATTATTATTATTATTAACAACCTGCCTCCAGAAGTTGTGAATGCTCCAACACTGGAAGTTTTTAAGAAGAGACTGGACAGCCATTTGTCTGAAATGGGATAGGGTTTCCTGCCTGAGCAGGGGGTTGGACTAGATGACCTCCAAGGTCCCTTCCAACTTTATTATTATTATAAGCCCCCCACACTCTTTGGCCTCCTCTTGGCCCAGCAGCCTGGAATGGGAAGGGTCTGCATTTTGATTGGATTCCTGCCTGGTCCTTCTCAGCCCTGCCTTGCGCTCTGCAGCCTGCACTTGATTCTCCCCCCACCCTCGCCACCGGCCCTTCTCCCCAAAAGGGGGAACTGGCTCTAGGTTTCCGAGTGCAGAATAACAGAGTCGGAAGGGACCTTGGAGGTCACCTAGTCCAGCCCCCTTCAGGAGACCTCCTACCATGCCGGATAAATAGTTGTCCAGTCTCTTCTGGGAGGCCTCCAGTGATGGAGCACCCGCCACTTCTGGAGGCAAGTTGTTCCAATGGTTGCAGGCGGTCCTCAACTTAACAACAGTTCATTTGGCGACCGTTCCAAGTTACAGTGGCACTGAAAAATTCTGGGCTCAAGTGTGGTCGTAAGCCGAGGACTACCTGTATCTGGACAGTGGCCATCAAAGGACACCGCAGTCCAGTTGTCCTTCTCTCCTGCCTTGGCCACTTTAAAACTGGACTTCAACTCCCAGAATTCCCCAGCCAGCTGGTAGAGCATGGTCAAAAGTGGAGGTGTCCTACTTTGGCCACTTTAAGACTGTGGACTTCAACTCCTAGAATTCCCCAGCCAGCAAAGCTGGCTGGGGAATTCTGGGAATCGAAGTCCACATGTCTTAAAGTGGCCACGATTGGCTGCTCCTGTTTGAAAATAAAGGCGATCAGAGAACTTGCCGGCAGCCACGCTGAGAGGCAAAGACAGTGGGGTTTGCAGTGGGGAGCTAACCCCCGGGGGTCGCGGGCTCTGCGGACCCCCGGTCTAAGGCCGCCTCCCTCTTCCTCCCCTGCCCAGGTGGGACCTTGGCCGAATTCATCCACAAGCGGGGCAACTCCCTCCTGGACGAGGAGACCATCCTGCACTTCTTCGCGCAGATCCTGCTGGCCCTTCACCACGTCCACGCCAAGCAGATCCTGCACCGGGACCTCAAGACCCAGAACATCCTCCTGGACAAGCACCACACCACGGTCAAGATCGGCGACTTCGGCATCTCCAAGATCCTCAGCAGCAAGAGCAAAGCCTACACGGTGAGTGGGCTTTTGGGTGGGTGGGGGGTCTCTGCTGGCAGTTTCTGGGCGAAGGGGGCAGGGGGAGGCAACCTTGGCTCTTTTGTGACTGGTGGACTTCGAATCCCAGAATTCCTCAGCCATCATGGGGGAACTATGCCCCCCTTGATGACTGGTGGACTTCAACTCCCAGAATTCCTGAGCCGGCATGGGGGAACTATGGCCCCTTCATGACTGGTGGACTTCAACTCCCAGAATTCCTGAGCCGGCATGGGGGAACTATGGCCCCCTCATGACTGGTGGACTTTAACTCCCAGAATTCCTCAGCCAGCATGGGGGAACTATGGCCCCCTTCATAACTGCTGGACTTCAACTCCCAGAATTCCTGAGCCAGCATAGGGGAACCATGACTCCCTTCATGACTTGTGGACTTCAACTCCCAGAATTCCTCAGCCAGTATGGGGCAACTATGGCCCCCTTCATAACTGGTGGACGTCAACTCCCAGAATTCCTCAGCCAGTATGGGGGAACTATGGCCCCCTTCATGACTTCTGGACTTCAACTCCCAGAATTCCTCAGCCAGTATGGAGGAACTATGGCCCCCTTCATGACTTCTGGACTTCAACTCCCAGAATTCCTCAGCCAGTATGGGGGAACTATGGCCCCTTCGTGACTTGTGGACTTGGCTGGTTCATGAATTCTGGGTATTGAAGTCCACCAGTCACAAAAGAGCCAAGGTTCCCCACCGCTGGTCTAGACTGGTGTTTCTCAGCCTTAGCAAAGATGTATGGACTTCGACTCCCAGAATTCCTCAGCCAGCAGGGTGATTGCAAAGGATGCTGGGAATTGAAGTCCATGTGTAAAGAATGGTCTAGGTTGGTGTTTCTCAACCTTGGTAACTCTTAAGACGGGTGGACTTCAGCTCCCCGAATTTGGGGTGGGGGGTGTCTTACCTTAGGACCACCACAGCCAGGCCTCCCACACCCCGACACTTGTCGTGCTGCTGCTTGACTTCTTTAGCGTCCGCTTGCCGCCCCTTGCAGCTGGGTGCCCTGGGACGCATGGCGCCGTTGCCACGCAGCGTCTTGCGGTGAGCAGCAGAAACGGCCCAAAGCGCTGTGCCCTTACGACCGACCGTTGCAGCCTCCCGGTGGTCACACGATCAAAATCCGGACCCTTGGCGACCGACTTGTATTTACGACGGCCACAGAGTCCCCTGATCCCCTTTTGCGACCTTCCGACAAAGCAAAGTCAATGGGGAAGCCGGATTCACTTAACGGCCGTGTTACTCACTTAACGACTGCAGCGATCCACTTAACAAATGTGGCCAGGAAGGTGGTAAAGTGGGGCAAAGCTCACTTAACCCCTGTCTCGCTTAGCGACGGAAACTTTGGGCTCAGTTGTGGTCGTAAGTCGAGGACTACCTGTAAGTGACTGAGCCAGACAAGGGGGGGTTGGGGCTTCTGCTTTCTCCCTTTTTTCCACGTTTCCGGCTTGGCTGACGGGCGTTCCCTGGGGCGCCTCTCTCCTCAGGTGGTGGGCACCCCGTGCTACATCTCCCCGGAGCTGTGTGAAGGCAAGCCCTACAACCAGAAGAGCGACATCTGGGCCCTGGGCTGCGTCCTGTATGAGCTGGCCAGCTTGAAGAGAGCCTTTGAGGCCGCCGTAAGGGATGGGTCGGGGTGGGGTCTTCTCTCTGGTGCGGACGGGGGCCCCCGGGGTGCCCCAGACACCCAGCACATGCACCACCTCTGGCCACTGCTGGCGAGGACCCACCGGAAGGGCTAGCCGCTGAAATTTGGTGAAGCTCTGTGGTTCTCCTGCTCGAGCGGGGGGCTGGACTAGAAGACCTCCAAGGCCCCTTCCAGGTCTGTTCTATTCTGTTCCGTTCCATTCTATTCCATTCCTTATTTTCTGTTCTGTTCTGTTCTATTAATTGTTTTTTAATTCTATTCTATTCTATTCTATTCTATTCTATTCTATTCCATTCTCTATTATTCCATTCCATTCCATTCTATTCTATTCCATTCCATTCCATTTCATTCCATTCCATTCCATTTTATTCCTATTCCTATTCTATTAATTCCATTCCATTCTATTCTATTCCATTCCATATTCTATTCTATTTTATTGCTATTCCTATTCCTATTCCTATTCTATTATTCTATTCTATTCTATTCCATTCTATTCTATTCTATTCTATTCCTATTCCTATTTCTATTTCTATTCTATTAATTCCATTCTATTCTATTCTATTCTATTCTATTCTATTCTATTCTATTCTATTCTATTCCATATTCTATTCCTTATTCTATTCTATTCTATTCTATTCTATTCTATTCTTATTCCTATTCCTATTCCTATTCCTATTCCTATTCCTATTCCTATTCCTATTTCTATTTCTATTCTATTATTTTATTCTATTATTCTATTCTATTCTATTCTATTTCTATTTCTATTTCTATTTCTATTTCTATTCTAAATATTCTCCGTAGGGAGAGTCTGTGGCCATAAATACCTGGGGGGGGTCTTGCCAGGAGCAAAGGACCCCTCTTATCCAGAGAGGGTTCCTCCGTAAGGTGGGGGCATAGACTGGGCAGGTCCTGGGGGGCTCCTAGTGCCAGTCAGAGCAGGCAGCACTGGAGGAGGCAGAGAGGTGGAGGCACCAGGCCAGAAACTGGGAGACGGTGAGTTCTAGTCCTGCCTTACGCACGAAAGCCGGCTGGCTGACCTTGGGCCAATCCCCAGGAGACGGTGAGTTCTAGTTCCGCTTTAGGCATGGAGGCCAGCTGGCCCTCTTTCTCAGCCCAACCCACCTCACAGGGTTGCTGTCGCCCCCTTGCCCTCCTGGGGCATTTAGGGGGGGGTTTCCTGCAAATTCCCTGACGGCGCCCCCTCCTCTCCCGCAGAACCTGCCCGCTCTGGTTCTGAAGATCATGAGCGGCACCTTTGCCCCCATCTCGGACCGCTACAGCCCTGAGCTGCGCCAGTTGATCCTCAGCCTGCTCAACCTGGACCCCTCCAAGCGGCCGCCGCTGAACGAGATCATGGCCGAGGCCCTCTGCGTCCGGCCCCTGCTGGACCTTTACACCGACGTGGGCAGCGTCCGGATGAGGAGGCAAGTGGGGGGGGGGCTGCTGTTTCCCCAACCCCCTCCCTGCTTCTCCCCCCCCCAGCCTGACAAATACAGGCCGTCCTCAATTTACGGCGGTTCATTTAGTGACCGTGTGAAGTTACAACAGCGCTGAAAAAAGTGACTGAGGACCGTTTTTCACACTTATGACCGTTGATCAGAATGTTGGCAACTGACTCGTATTTATGACGGCTGTGGTGTCCCGTGTGTGTGTGTGTGTGTGTGTGTGTGTGTGTGTGACGTGATCCCCTTTTGTGACCTTCCGACAAGCAAAGTCAGAGGGGGAAGGCAGATCTGCTTAATGACTGTGACGAGCGGTCCTCAACTTACGCCCGCGGTTCAGCCCAAAATGTAGGTTGCTAAGTGAGAAATTTCTGAAGTGGGTTTTGCCCCATTTTGCGACNTTAATTTTACAATATTACATTTACATATTTGAAAAGTAGCGTGGCGGCTGAGCACAGTAATTCCGTTACATTTGAATATCATCAGTACAAATCTCAAATTATTACAACAAACTAATTCCCTCTCTTTCCCCCATGATATCTACTGTCATGTTCAAACCAATACAGTTCTTATTCTATTAATCAAACAAAAAATACCTTTTAATATTCATCAATAATCTTCAGTCTATACATATCTTAATTAATTTGACATTCCACCTTTTAGACAATAACCTAGTAAGTTTTTTTTAACTTTAATTTGCCATTGATATTTAAGTTTAATGTTTAATCTTTATCATTTCCAGGTTTTAAATGATCTAAATTTCTAAGTCTCCTATCTCACATTTGGAGCTAATATTTTTTTTTTTTCTTCCTTTCACTTCCTTCCTTTCTTCCTTTCCAGAAAGAGAAAAAAGAATTAAAAATTCTTTTAAAAATTAAAAAACCACCAACATTTATACCACAAACCCATATACAAATTTAATTATTAGTACTTATACTTTTAAGTTTTACTTAACCTTCGTCTCAACTCATAACAGTATCTTAAATTCAAATCTTAATTATTTGTAGACATTCAGATTACATTTAATATTTATTTTTTCCAAATTTTAATTAAACACAATTCTTTTATCCCAATTGCTCATACATTCTAATATTTAAAATACACACTTTATATATAACTTCTACCATCTATCTTACCCATCTAATGACAATATAAATATTCTTATTTCAACATATTTCTGGATTTTATATGACCAAAATTTTCTTTATCTCAAATCGTTACAATGTCTTGTGTTTAGAATACATATTCTGTCTATTTAGATATATTCTATTTTAGATCTCATATATAGATCAGAACCCCAATCTTTTTCAATCTTATTCTAGCTTTTTTCCTCTGCCAGGTCATTTTTTGTATTTTTGCCTTTAAATTCTGTTCCGTTCCATTCTATTCCATTCCTTATTTTCTATTCTATTCTATTCTATTCTATTCCTATTCCTATTCCTATTCCTATTCCTATTCCTATTCTATTCTTTTCTATTTCTATTTCTGTTTCTATTCTATTATTCTATTCTATTCTATTCTATTCTATTCTATTCTATTCCTATTCCTATTCCTACTCCTACTCCTATTCCTATTCCTATTCCTATTCCTATTCCTATTCTATTCTATTAATTCCATTCCATTCTATTCCTATTCTATTCTATGCCATTCTATTTCTATTTCTATTTCTATTTCTATTCTATTATTCTATTCTATTCCTATTCCTATTCCTATTCCTGTTTCTATTTCTATTTCTATTTCTATTTCTATTTCTATTCTAAATATCCTCTGCAGGGAGAGTCAGTCTGTGGCCATAAATTCCTGGGAGGGGGTCTTGCCAGGAGCAAAGGACCCCTCTTATCCAGAGAGGGTTCCTCCGTAAGGGGGGGCATAGACTGGGCAGGTCCTGGGGGGCTCCTAGTGCCAGTCAGAGCAGGCAGCACTGAAGCAGGCAGAGCGGTGGAGGCACCAGGCCAGAAACTGGGAAACGGTGAGTTCTAGTCCTGCCTTACGCACGAAAGCCGGCTGGCTGACCTTGGGCCAATCCCCAGGAGACGGTGAGTTCTAGTTCCGCTTTAGGCATGGAAGCCAGCTGGCCCTCTTTCTCAGCCCAACCCACCTCACAGGGTTGTTGTCGCCCCCTTGCCCTCCTGGGGCATTTAGGGGGGGGGTTCCTGCAAATTCCCTGACGGTGCCCCCTCCTCTCCCGCAGAACCTGCCCGCTCTGGTTCTGAAGATCATGAGCGGCACCTTTGCCCCCATCTCGGACCGCTACAGCCCTGAGCTGCGCCAGTTGATCCTCAGCCTGCTCAACCTGGACCCCTCCAAGCGGCCGCCGCTGAACGAGATCATGGCCGAGGCCCTCTGCGTCCGGCCCCTGCTGGACCTTTACACCGACGTGGGCAGCGTCCGGATGAGGAGGCAAGTGGGGGGGGCTGCTGTTTCCCCAACCCCCTCCCTGCTTCTCCCCCCCCCAGCCTGACAAATACAGGCCGTCCTCAATTTACGGCGGTTCATTTAGTGACCGTGTGAAGTTACAACAGCGCTGAAAAAAGTGACTGAGGACCGTTTTTCACACTTATGACCGTTGATCAGAATGTTGGCAACTGACTCGTATTTATGACGGCTGTGGTGTCCCGTGTGTGTGTGTGTGTGTGTGTGTGTGTGTGTGTGTGTGACGTGATCCCCTTTTGTGACCTTCCGACAAGCAAAGTCAGAGGGGGAAGGCAGATCTGCTTAATGACTGTGACGAGCGGTCCTCAACTTACGCCCGCGGTTCAGCCCAAAATGTAGGTTGCTAAGTGAGAAATTTCTGAAGTGGGTTTTGCCCCATTTTGCGACCTTTCTCGCCACTGTCGTTAAGTGAAACACAGCAGTTATTGAGTCACCTGGTCCTTAAGTGGACCCGGCTTCCCCCATTGCCGGAAGGTCGCAAAAGGGGATCACGCGACGCCGCCACCGTCGTAACTGCGAGTCAGCTGCCCAGCGTCTGAACTTGGATCACGTGGGCCACGCGGGGAGGCTGCAAAGGTCATAAGTGTGGAAAAAGGGTCATAAGTCGCTTTTTCCGGTGCCGTTCTAATTTCACACGGTCACTAAATGGACTGCCTGTACTAATGGAAGCGATTCGCTTAATGACGGTGGGAAGAAAAGTCGTAAAGTGGGGCCACTGTCGCCGTGGAAGGTTGAGGCTGAAATCGTGGCCCCGTCTCCTGTTGCTCCTGGCAGGCCGGAGAAGTCGTGGAGAGCGGCGCCCGCCGTGGCCCAGAGCAGAGCTGGGGGTGCGGCTGTCGGGGCCAGAGCGTGGGGTAAGGCTGGGCCTGTGCTGGGGGGGTCTCCCTCCGTCTCCCGCCGGGGGTCCTCCCCCGAGGGAGGGAGGGGCAGATTTGCGACTCCTCTTCTTGGGCTTTGGGGCGGCCGGAGAGGGCAGCGTCCCCCACCCCAGCACCCCACGGACGTCCTTCTCTCGGACACAGGTGGCCGCGCCGGGACCCCCAGGCCCGGCCTCCCCCCGGCCTTGTCCTCCATCTACACCTGGGGCTCCGGCATCGCCAACCCCCTCCGCCTGCCCATGCTGAACACCGAGGTGGTGCAGGTGTCCACGGGCCGCACGCAGAGGGCCGGCGTGACCAAATCCGGGCGGCTGGTCCTGTGGGAGGTGAGAGCCCCTCGCTTCTGCCAAGAATGGGGGGCAGCCCCCGCTTCTCTGCTTGCTGAGGAAGAGAGCTAGGGAGATGCTGGTTAGCCCCCCTCCCCACCTCCCCGGTGGTCCTGCTTACCCCTCTTTTAGATGTTTGCTCCAGTTTCTTCTTTCCCTTTTTTTAAAGAAAACCCATCAAGAGCCCCTTTGGGAAGGCAGTTGGCAGCTCCAAGCGGGGTCAGCGGTGGGGGGCTTTAGGCAGGCCCCAGCGAGGTTGGCACTGCAGAGGCAGAAGGGGCCTGCCAAGGGCGAAACAGATGCCCCCCTTTCTCCTTTTTGCCAATTAGAATTGAATATATTGAAGAACTAGTTCAGCTCCAAGTGGGTGGGGGAGAGAAGGAATGAAGTAGCTGGGAAGGGGGGGGGCAGCCAGACTCTTGGGGAGGGAGGAGGAGGAGGAGGAGGACTGTGGGGTCCCTGGTGGGGTCTCTGAGTTTGTTTTTTTCTTGCAGACGTTTCATGACCCAACTAGCGAACATCATCAGTACTGGGAGGGGTTTTTTTGTTGAGTAGAGGAGAATGGGAGGAGGAGGAGGAGGAGGAGGAGGAGGAGGAGGAGGAGGAGGAGGAGAGGAAAAGGACTGTGGGATCCTTGTTGCTCTCTGAGTTGGTGGTTTTCTTGCAGACATTTCGTGACCCAACTAGGGAACATCATCAGTGCTAGAAGGTTTGTGGAGAGGAGGAGGAGGAGGAGGAGAATTGTGGGGTCCCTGGTGCTCTCTAAGCTTGGTTTTTTTTCTTGCAGACCTTTCATGACCCGACTAGGCAACCCAACTAGGGCTAGAATGGAGGGGGTTTGTGGAGAGGAGGAAGAGGAGGAGGAGAAGTGGAAGAGGAAGGGATGAAGTGGGGGTGGGGAGAGGAAGAGGAGGGAGGGGGAAGATTGTGGAGCCTTTATTGATCTCTGAGCTGGGTGGTCGTCTTGCAGACGTCTCATGACCCAACTAGGGAACGCCATCAATGCTAGAAGGGAGTGTGGGGTGTGCAGAGCGGAGGAGGGGGGAGGAGGGGGGGATCTGCTGCTCCATTTAGGGCAGGCCTCCCTTGTCTACCTGAGAAAGCCAGCAGAGAGATATTGGGGCTCACACAAGGCCCCCCCCCCAGGGCACCTTCCGGCAGCAGCAGCCCCTCCCCTCTTCTCCCCTGCAGCCTGGTTCTTTCCCTCCTGCTGGAAGAGCAGACGGGAGCCGGGCCCAGTTCTCAGCCCCATCAAAGTTCCATGGGTAGGGCTAGACTGTCCCTGGGAAGGACCTCTGCACGTGCCTAGGAGCCCTCCTCTCCCTCCAGTCCCTTCACCGTTGAAATTCAAGGCTGGATTTTGAATCTGAGCAGCTCGGCTTGATCTGGTCTCCCTCTTGCTGCTTTCCCCCCCTCCCCAGCCGCCCCCCTTTGGCACATCTGGGGGACCCTCCCTCCCGGGGGCCACGGAGCAGCTGCAGCCCCAGTTCGTGTGCCGCTTCCTGGAGGGCCAGTCCGGGGTGACCATCAAGCACGTTGCCTGCGGGGATCTCTTCACCGCCTGCTTGACAGGTAGGAGAAGCCCGAGGAGGCCCGGGCTGGCCGGGATGTGGGGGGTCCTGGCAGGGTCCCAGGAAGCGGACCCCTGGTGGGAGGGGTCTCCCCTGGACCCCTGCAAGGCTCGCAATGGACTGGAGAAAAAATAAATTCAATTTTCACTACTTCATTCAAGATGGGCTTTCCCTCCCCTGCACGAAGGTTTTCCAGGCAGCATTAGGGCAGGGGTCTCCGGGCTAGGCCACTGGAAGGCCTGTGGGCTTCAACTCCCAGAATTCCCCAGCCAGAGGTGGAATTAAAAGTTGGCTGGGGAATTCTGGGAGTTGAAGGGCGCAGGTCTTAAAGTGGCCGAGTGTGGAGGCCCCTGGGCTGTAATATTGAAATCCTGCACATCCGATTGTGCTGTGCCTGATTCTCCTTTTGATCATCCAGGGATTTGTCTGGGCTTCTTCTGAACATGAAGATGTTTAAAACTCATTTTGACTCAATTCCTGCCTGTCTTCACCTTGGTCATCTCGGGTGGGGGGTCATTTTGGATGTGGGGTTGGACTAGAAGACCACCAAGGCCCCTTCCATCTCTGTTATTCTATTCTATTTTATTCCTTATTCTATTCTATTCTATTCTATTCATTCTTCTATAGTCTGTTCTTTTCATTCTTCTGTTCTATTCTATTTTCATTCTATTTTTAGTCTAGTCTAGTCTATTCATTTCATTCTAGTCTAGTCTATTCTTTTCATTCTTCTATTCTATTCTATTCTATTCTATTCTATTCTATTCTATTCATTCTTCTAGTCTAGTCTAGTCTATTCTTTCATTCTATTGTTCTATTCTATTTTCATTCTATTCTAGTCTATTCTTTTCATTCTTCTATTCTTTTCATTCTTCTATTCTGTTCTATTCTATTCCTATTCCTTATTCTATTCTTTGATTACCTTTCTTAGTCCCTGTCCTCTTCCTGTCCTTTGGGGTCCTGCTGCTCTGGCTGACCGAGCCAGGTGCAAGCCTTGGTTTGGGGGGGCTGGGATTGGGGGGGCTGTGTCAGTGGATCCCCGCAATATGCCAGCTATCCTGTCGGCTCCTTTTCCTCCCCACAGACAGAGGGATTGTCTTGACCTTCGGCAGTGGCAGCAGTGGCTGCTTAGGACACGGATCGTTTGTGGACGTCAACCAGGTTGGTTCTGCCCTCGGCTCAAGCCTCTGGGTCGGCCAGAGGAGGGGGTCCGGTCCCCGAGGAGGGCGGGGTGGGCTCAGGGCTAAGGGGGGAGCCGCAAATTCTCATTTTATCCACACACACACACACACACACCACCCTCCATCTGCAAAAGTAGGAAAACTGCGCAAGAGGGCTGCCGAGACGCCGCAAGAGATTTAAAAGGAAACGGGTGCACGGAGGCATCAGAATACAGAATCACAGAAGTGGAAGGGACCTTAGAGGTCATCCAGTCCAGCCCCCTGCTCGAGCAGGAGACCCTGTACCAGGGTTGTCCAGCCTTGGGAACTTTTAAGAGTTGTGGACTTCAAGAGTTGTGGACTTGTTGGGGAATTCTGAGAGTTGAAGTGCACAAAGTTCCAAGGTTGGACACTCCTGGGATAGGGAATTCTGGGAACTGAAGTCCACGAAGTTCCGAGGTTGGACACCCATGGGATAGGGAATTCTGGGAGTTGAAGTCCACAAGGTTCCAAGGTTGGACACCCCTGGTACTGAGTCTCCAGCTCCAGCAGGGGGTTGGACTGGATGACCTCCAAGGTCCCTTCTGTTATTCTGATTTCCCTGGAGTGGCCAGATTCTGGATTTTTCCTTCTCCTGCCTTGAGACAAACCTCACCTGTGCTTCCCAGGGGCGCGGAAGGTGGCGGAGACGGGCCGGGGAGGGTGGGGGGGTGAGCGCCATTGGCCTCTCCTCTTTCTGACCTGCTCTTTGCAGCCCAAGATCGTGGAGGCCCTGCTGGGATACGAGATCACGCGAGCCGCCTGTGGCGCCTCCCACGTCCTGGCCCTCTCCAGCGAAGGGGAGGTCTTCACCTGGGGCAGGGGCGACAACGGTGAGCACTGAAGCACCCGGAATCGGGGCGTCCGCCGAAGGTGGCCAGCTGACCCACACGTCCAGGGAGAGATCCCTGGTGCTCCCTGGAGGGTTTTTCTCTAGACCAGGGGTGGCTCTTTTATGACTGGTGGACTTCAACTCCCAGAATTCCTGAGCCAGCCATGCTGAGGGAAAAGGGAGAGGTTTCCAAGCTGGCCCAGGAATTCTGGGAGTTGAAGTCCACGAGTCATGAAGGGGCCGTAGTTCCCCCATGCTGGCTCAGGAATTCTGGGAGTTGAAGTCCACAAGCCATGAAGGGGACCATAGTTCCCCCATGCTGGCTCAGGAATTCTGGGAGTTGAAGTCCACAAATCATGAAGGGGGCCATAGTTCCCCCATGCTGGCTCAGGAATTCTGGGAGTTGAAGTCCACGAGTCATAAAAGAGCCAAGGTTGCCTACCCCTGGGCTAGACTGTCGCTCTTTGAACTTACCAATAGAAGGATCTGGCACTCCTTTAGCTTATATGACCCTCCTGGCTTAGGGAAAGTCCTAGAGTCACCCCACAAGATCCTCTGATGCAGCAAAGGTCTGCAAGGAGCTTCAGGAGCTGTGCTGCAAAGCAGCCTGCGTGCCGACAGCTGTGGGCCGCCAGGGTTGCAAGCAGTTCCTTGTTGAAAAAGCAGCCTTTGGGGAATTTATTCTTCAAACAGGTAGCAAGTTGTGCCTTTCTTTACCACTTTTAAGGACTATCCATCTCTAGTAAGCTAAGGGAGGCTGTCTTTAGTCCCAGCCTGTTCTTCCTTTTTGAAGATCGATGCCATGAAGGCAGAACAAGAAGCAACGGATGGAGAGAAGCAACCTGGAACTAAGGAGAAACTTCCTGACAATTAGAATAATTAACCAGTGGAACAACCTGCCTCCAGAAGCGGTGAATGCTCCAACAATGGAAGTTTTTAAGACAGCCATTTGTCTGAAATGGTATAGGGTTACCTGCCTGAGCAGGGGGTTGGACTAGATGACCTCCAAGGTCCCTTCCAACTTTATTATTATTATTATTGACAACCTGCCTCCAGAAGCTGTGAATGCTCCAACACTGGAAGTTTTTAAGAAGAGACTGGACAGCCATTTGTCTGAAAGGGTGTAGGGTTTCCTGCCTGAGCAGGGGGTTGGACTAGATGATCTCCAAAGTCCTTTCAGCCCTAGGATTCTATAATTCAGGAAGGAAGGAAGGAAGGAAGGAAGGAAGGAAAATGGATGGTATCTAATCAAGGAATCAACCTAGAACTAAGGAGAAACTTCCTGACAGTGAGAACAATTAACCAGTGGAACAACCTGCCTCCAGAAGCTGTGAAGGCTCCAACACTGGAAGTTCTTAAGAAGAGACTGGACAGCCATTTGTCCGAAATGGTATAGGGTTTCCTGCCTGAGCAGGGGGTTGGACTAGATGACCTCCAAGGTCCCTTCCAACTTTATTATTATTATTATTATTATTATTATTATTATTATTATTATTATTATTATTATTATTATTATTATTATTATTATTATTATTATTATTAACCACAAGGAAGAAGGCTGCCGAAGGCAAGCTAGGATAAGGAAGTGCGGAATAACTTTAAAAAAAAAAAATTATTGATGGCTGAAGCATCCTGAATCATTGGCCTCCTCTTCCCTGCTCGGGGGGTCCCCCAGGGGCAGCTGGTGGGAGCCCCTTCTAACCGCCCCCTTTTCCTTCTCCCGTCTCCTAGGGCGCCTGGGGTTGGGGTCCCTGGAGTCCCACAGCTCCCCACAGCTGGTGCCCCTCCCCTCTGGCTTCGACGCCCAGGAGGTCCTGTGTGGCATCGATGCGTCCATGATCCTCACCTCCAAGAATCAGATCCTGGCCTGTGGCAGCAACAGGTAGGACGGGGGTCCCCGTTTGCCCCTCCGGAGGCTGGAAAAGCCCCCCCTCTCGGCTGAGGGAACCGGCTGCCGGCAGAGCTTGAACGGGCAGTCGAGCGCCAAGCGGGCCGGAGAGGGTTCAAGGGGGAGGTGGCAGCTTGGCACTGACTCTTCTCTTCCCCCCACCCACCCCCATCCACCAGGTACAACAAGCTGGGCCAGGACAGGACGGTGCCCCACGGCGAGCCCCCCGCCGCTGCCGAGCAGGTGGAGGAAGTGCTGCTCTTCAGCCCCGCCTGCTCGGCCCCCCTGAGCGAAGAGGCCGTCGTGGGCGCGGACATCGGCACCTCCCACTCGGCAGCCATCACCGGTGAGCCCCCCAGGGCAGCCCCTGGCCATTAAACCGGGAAGTCTTTCTGGACACTTCAATTCAGAGCCCAAGCCGCCCTCGACTTACCGCCGTCCGTTTAGCGACTGTTCTTGCGGCCATTTTTCACACTTAACGACCGTAGGTCACGTGGTCTGAATTGGGACGCTTGACCCCCGGCTCCTATTTTCTGACCTTTGCTGGGTCACGCGGTCCCCCTTTGGCGACTCTCTGACCAGCAAAGTGAGTGGGGGGAGTCAGACTCGCTTAATGTCCGTGTCGCTGACTTAACCAACTTCAGCGACGCACGCGACCACTCGGGCGAGAAAAGTCGTCAAGTGAGGTTAGCGAACGTCTCACTTAACGGCAGAAATGTTGGGATCCATTCTCGTTGTAAGTCGAGGACTGCCTGTATCTCCCTCGAATCTGCTTGGGCGCAGAGGCTGGCTAGCCAGCAGGGCGAACGCAAGTCTCCAGCTTAATTTAAATATGAATTTAAATATTATGGGAGCCCTGCGGAACCTCCAGCTTAATTTAAATATTTAAATATGAATTTAAATATGGGAGCCCTGCAGAACCTCCAGCTTAATTTAAATATGAATTTAAATATTATGGGAGCCCTGCGGAACCTCCAGCTTAATTTAAATATTTAAATATGGGAGCCTTGCAGAACCTCCAGCTTAATTTAAATATGAATTTAAATATGAATTTAAATATTATGGGAGCCCTGCAGAACCTCCAGCTTAATTTAAATATTTAAATAGTAATTTAAATGTGAATTTAAATATTATGGGAGCCCTGCAGAACCCCACTTCCCGGGGGGAACTGGTGGAATTTTTGCCTGATTTAATTTGCCTTTGGAGAGATTAATCAATTCCTGAGGACCTTTTAGCTGGAAGCAGGGGGACCCAAGACTTACTTAGCAACCCACAATCTGGCAGTTACGCCATGCACTCGCCCGATGCTTCGTTTTGTGACCGTATTGCTTAGCGACAGGCGTTCCGGTCCCAGTCGCCACGCCAACCCCAGGGCACGATGCCCTTTCCTCCTTGTCCACCCACAGCCTCCGGTCAGTGCTACACCCTGGGCAGCAACCAGCACGGCCAGCTGGGCCCCATCTCCTGCCGGGCCAGCCGGGCCCCCTACCTGGTGGAGGGGCTGCTGGGCACCAGAGTCACCCGGGTGGGCTGTGGGGATGCCTTCACCCTGGCGGTGGGAGCAGGTGAGTGGCCGCGCTGCGCGGGAGACTCGGAGCCCACCCCCCCGCCAGCCCTTGGGCCGCGCTCGGGGTCAGCCGGGTCAGCCTGCCGCCTGTGCCCCCCCAGATGGCGAGGTCTACACCTGGGGCAAGAGCGCCCGGGGGCGCCTGGGCAGGAAGGAGGGGGAGACGAGGAGCCCCCGGCCCGTGCAGCTGGAAGAGAGCCCCCCCAGCCTGGTTGTCTCGGTCTCCTGTTGCCATGGCACCACCCTGCTCACTCTCAAGCGTGAGTAGCCGGCAGCGGGCACAGATGCCAAGGGGGGGGGGCTGGGCACTAGCTGCCAGCTGGCAGGCAGTGTGGGAAGCCCCTGTCCCCACGGCCACCCCTTCCTTCCCCCGGGAGGGGGTGGGCTCCCTCGGCTGTCAAGCTCCAGAAGCCACCCAGCAGTGGAAAGTGGCACTTGTGCTCACACACACACACACACACACATACTCAGAGAGTCAACAGCAGTGCAGGCAGCAAAGAATCTTTGCAGCCCAGGGTTGAATTTGGGGGTCCTGGTTGCTCTCTGAGCTGGGGGGGGTTTCTTGCAGAGGTTTCATTGCCCAAACTAGGGAGCATCATCAGTGCTAGAAGGGGGTGGATTGTGAGGAGGAGGAGGAGGAGGAGGAGGAAAAGGGGGGGGAGGAGGAGGAGGAGGAAGAAAAGGACTGTGGGGTCCCTGGTGCATTCTGTGCTTGGTGGTTTCCTTGCAGATGTTTGATGACCCAGCTAGGGAACATCATCAGTGTTAGAAGAGAAAGGGGTTTGTAGGGAGGAGGAGGGGGAGAAGGAGGAGGACTGGGGTGGGTCCCTGGTGCCCTCTGAGCTAGAAGGGAGGGTCTGTGAGGAGGAGGAGGAGGAAAAGGGGGAGAGGAGGAGGACTGTGGGGTCCTTAGTGTCCTCTGAGCTAGAAGGGAGGGGGTCTGTGAAGAGGAGGAGGAGGAGGAGGAGGAAGAAGAAGAAGAAAAGGACTGTGGGGTCCCTGGTGCACTCTGTGCTTGGTGGTTTCCTTGCAGACGTTTGATGACCCAGCTAGGGAACATCATCAGTGTTAGAAGAGAAAGGGGTTTGTAGGGGGGAGGAGGAGGAGGAGGACTGTGGTCCTTAGTGTCCTCTGAGCTAGAAGGGAGGGGGTCTGTGAAGAGGAGGAGGAGGAGGAGGAGGAGGAGGAGGAGAAGGAGGAGGACTGTGGGGTCCCTAGTGCACTCTGAGCTTAGTGGTTTTCTTGCAGACGTTTCACTACCCAACTAGGGAACATCATCAGTGTTAGAAGGGAGGGGGTTTTGTGGGAGGAGGAGGACTGTGGAGTCCTTAGTGCCCTCTGAGCTAGAAGGGAGGGTGTGTGTGAGGAGGAGGAGGAGGAGGACTGTGGGGTCCCTGGTGCTTTTCTGGCAGGGACCCCACAGTCCCTGCCAGACTGTGGGAACATCACCAGGGCCGAGACTTGTGAAGAGTCTTTGGTGGACTTAGGATCTCTTTCTTGCCTTTAACTGTGGGGTGGGCCTGCCCCTACCCCGGAGCTCTGCTGGCTGAGGAATTCTGGGAGTTGAAGTCCACCCGTCTTAACCTGACCGCGTGTGGACACCCCCTGTCCGAGCCAGTCCGGTCAGACTTGTTCCTTCCGTGAGCATCCCGCGGCTGCTGGACCTTCTCCACGGAAGCCTCAAGGCCCCACACAGGAGGAGAGCCCTGCAGCACTTGGGGGGGGGGGCGGCGGTTAGCAGCCCCAAAAGGGGGCAGCAGCCCCAGAATCCCCTCCCCAGATGCTAAGCACATCTGGGCAGCTGCACGCGAGCCTCCTAAGCCACGTTTTTTCCAAACTTCCCCTCCCGGGGCAGGAAATCCGGAAATAGCTGCTGGGCTAAATGTGGCCCCGGGAGAGGGTGAATCAGCCTGCCTGCCTGCCTGCCTGCCAAAACCTGGGGGGTCGGGGAGGGGGGGGCAGCTGACGATGAATGGGCCGCTCGGAAGACGGAAGGGAAGGGGCTGGGTTTGTGGGTTCGGCCGGCAGACAAAGCCCCTCTGTGTGACTTGCTCCGTGAGGTTTGGCCACGCTGTTCCTCCCCCCCCCAACATGCTATGGGGAGGGAAGCAGGTCCTGGCTGAGCCCAAACTACACCCCCCCCCTTTCCTTGCAGCCTGGTTGATTATTATATATTTTTCGGTGTGTGTGTGTGTGTTTTGCATTTCAGCCGGGGTGGAAGAATCCAGCCCGCAGTGAACGGAGGGAGGTGGAAAAAGCAGCAGCAGCAGCAGCAGAAAAGACCCCCCCATGGGGTGGGGCTTCCCCTTTCAGGGAATCCTGACACCCCCCCCATGTACACACACCCCCCTCATTTGGGAGGCTGAAGCTGACCCATGGACTGGGCGGAAGAGGGACCCCAGTGCTGGCTGATGCAAGATTGCCCCCCCTCTCTGAAGCTTCCTGGGGGTGAGAACGGCCTCTGTGCCCCCCTCCCAAGGCAGAGCAGCCTCTCCTGGGGCAGGCAGGGCTCTTCCCTGGGGGGGTGGGGGTCAGGGAAGCCGTGGGGCCAGGCCCTGCTGGCTCGTCTTCCTGCGCTGACTCAGGCTGATGCCGCCTAGGTTCATTCACCTTGCTGCCCTGACTCAGGATCTGACCCCGGGGCCGGTCGGATGCCGGGTTTCGAACCCACTCCAGCCCCTGAGGCCCAGTCAGCGAGGGGGCACTCCGCAGCCATTCCAGGGAGCCCTCGGCTTAACGACCACACGGGACCCGACAATTTCCGGCGCTGAACGAGGGCGATTTGTTCTCTCGCTCCGTTTTACGACCTTTCTTGACACCGTTCTTAAGTGAACCGCTGCCGCCGTCAAATGGACCGTGTGGTTGTTAAGCGAATCCGGCTTCCCCCCCCCAATTGACTTTGCTCATCCGAAGGTCGCAGAAGGGGGGTCACCTGAACCCCGGGAATGCTGCGACCGTCGTAAATACGAGTTGGTTGCCGAGCGTCCGAATTTTGATCACGTGACCCTGGGGATGCTGCGACGGTCGCAAGGGTGAACAGTGGTCGTAAGCCGCTCTTTTCAGTGCCGTTGTAATTTTGAACGGTCGCTAAATGAAATAAGTCGAGGACTACAGAATAGAATAGAATAGAATAGAATAGAATTAAAATAAGGAATAGAATAGAATAGAATAGAATAGAATAGAATAGAATAGAATAGAATAGAATAGGAGTTGGAAGGGACCTTGGAGGTCTTCTAGTCAAACCCCCTGCTCGAGCAAGGGACTTCACACCAGTGGCGTCCAACCTTGGAACTTAAAAGATGTGTGGGCTTCAACTCCCAGAATTCCCCAGGCAGCAAAGCTGGCTGGGGAATTCTGGGAGTTGAAGTCCACACATCTTCACGTCTTAACCTATGAGGGAGAGTAGAGTAGAATGAATAGAATAGAATAGAATTAAAATAAGGAATAGAATAGAATAGAATAGAATAGAATAGAATAGAATAGAATAGAAGCTGGAAGGGACCTTTGAGGTCTTCTAGTCCAGCCCCCTGCTAGGGCAGGAGAACCTACACCGTCTCCGACAAGTGAGGGTCCAGTCCAGTGGCACCTCCCAAGCTAAACGGAGCCTCCAATGCTCAGCCTGCTGACTCCCCCCCACCCCCAACAAGACCACCTCTAGTCTGGGGAGGGGGGGCTGTCTCTTCCGTGAGACCCCTGTGAAGTTCAGTCAGGGGAAGGGGCGGCTTCAGCAGATTTGTATGCCAGTTTCCCAACACCCTCCGGATCCTCAATTTTTAACTTCCTCTTAATAAATATCTCCGATTGTGGTTGCTACGGCAGTTCTGCATTCACAAACCCACAATTCAAACTGCCCTTTGACCCTCTTTCGCAAGGCCCCCCCCGAAGACCCAGTTTGGCCAGGGGGGCTGCGGAACCCAGCCTGGGATGGGCCCCCTCCAACAGCTCACTTGGCCCTGGGTTCTCGCCAGGGGTGTGTGGTAGGGATGGGGGGGCGTTGTTTTTTATTTTTATATATATATATTTTCTACACTGGGTTTTATTGCTTGTAAGCCGCTGTGAGCGAGCAGGCGGCTATGAAGATTTTCTAAATAAATGAATAAATTTTTAACGGCTGAGTGTGGAATACTTTGAGGGGTGAGGGGGTCCTTCGGTCAAAGCAGGGGTCTTCCATCTTGGCCCTCTGATGACTTGTGGACTTCAATTCCCAGAGGAATTCTGGGAATTGAAGTCCACAAGCAGGGGGTCTTCCAACTTGGCCCTTTGATGACTTGTGGACTTCAACTCCCAGAATTCCTCAGGCAGGCACACTGGCTGAGGAATTCTGGGAATTGAAGTCCACAAGTAGGGGGGTCTTCAAACCTGGCTCCTGATGACTTGTGGACTTCAACTCCCAGAATTCCTCAACTAGGTCACAGATAGTCCTCAAATTATGATTCCCGGTTGGGGGCCTGAATTTCCGTCGCTAAGCAAAGCCGTGGTTAAGTAAGCAAAGTCTGGTTTTATGTTCTTGTTTGCTGTGGTTGTTAACTGAAGCACTGCAGTTGTTAAATGAATCAAGAGATGTTAAGCTAATTCCAGCTTCCCTCGTTGACTTTGCTTGTCCGAAGGTCACAAAAGCGGATCCCTGCAACTGTCATAAATAGGAGCCAGTTGCCAAGCATCCCGGATTCTGATCACGTGACCCTGGGGAGGCTGCCACGGTCGTAAGTCTGGAAAACGGTCATAAGTCCCTTTTTTCACGGCCACGCTTACGTTGAACGGTCACTGAATGAATTGCTGTAAGTCGAGGACTATCTGGTTACCCGGGGTGCAAATCTTCATCATATGACTGGGGATGTTGCCAGGGTCATAAGTGCGAGGACTGGTCATAAGTCACATTCCTCAGTGCTGTTGTAACTTCAAACGGTCGCTAAATGAATGTTCGTACCTTGAACACTTAGCTGTCCAGCTGTAAGCATGAAAACTGGTCACAAATCAACGTTTTTGAGCTAAAGTCACTAAACGGAACGGTTGTAATCCGAGGACTACCTGTATTGAATTCCCATTCTTGGTTCTGTGTTCAAGAACAGCCACAAAGGCTCCATCAGGAACTTTGAAGGACTGGATAAAGCAGGGGTCCACAAGCTTGGCCACTTTAAGACTGGTGGACTTCAACTCCCAGAATTCCTCAGCCAGCAAAGCTGGCTGAGGAATTCTGGGAGTTGAAGTCCACCAGTCTTAAAGTGGCCAACCCTGGGATAATGGATGAAAGGTTCAAATCTATAACTT